GTTAAAACCAAAGGAGAACTGACCTCCGTGATGTCATGCAGCGACTTACCTGCAGAGCTGTGGCTACTGGAGTGCAGAATTCTTGACTGATGTGTTTCTGCTGCGGGTGGTGCCAATTCCTCAGGTCCTGTTTCACTGCAGGGCCTTTAGAGAGTTAGCTGTCTGCCACGGCTCCACTGCTGGGAGTCTTGAATGAGGTTATTTGCTCTTCTTTCTTATGTTGTCTTAAGTCCCAAATTGCCCAAAAGTCTCATTCTGTATCTAAGTAAAATATGTCAGGTGTATCAGTTGAGTTTTGTTGCTGCCTTGATTGTATCTTAGTGTACTCTTAAGTAACTGACGTTCTCTCAAAAGGCATTTAAGCTTAGTCGGAGTTTGAAGTCCACATTTGGAGTGATCAGTGTCATTATTCTGTATGGAAAGGTTTTGAAGTAACTTCAGTGATCTCTAGTGGATTTCCAGCCGATTGGACAGCTTACATGTACTAAACTCTTTGAATTATATAAATTCTTTGACTAACGGGTTTTCAGAGGGTATTTATTGCTCAATCTATAAACTGAATGTTTTCATGCTCCCTTGTGAGTTATTAAATTCAGGATTATATTTATATTTTGTGTGTATATGTATTGTATGTATGTGTATGTAGTATTTATATTTTTAATGAAGCCATATGCACTTGTTATGGAATTGCTATAAGGTCATTTGCGAAAATTTAATTATTTAAAAATCTCCAGAGTTAATAAGGTCATGCAGTGAAAAGGATGCGCCTTCTAACTCAGGATTTTGTTGTGTATCCTAGCTGGTTTTGAATTAGCAATTCTTCTGTCTCTTCTTCCTAAATTCTGGTATTACTCCTGTCTAGTAGAAGGATTTCTTTCCCTTAAAGACAGGATCATGCCGGGCGGTGGTGGCGCACACCTTTAATCCCAGCACTGGGAGGCAGAGGCAGCAGATCTCTGGGAGTTCGAGGCCAGCCTGGTCTACAAGAGCTAGTTCCAGGACAGGCACCAAAAAGCTACGGAGAAACCCTGTCTCAAAAAAAAAAAAAAAAAAACATTAAAGATGTGAGCCAACATAGCCCCACAGTTGATATGGTTCTAAAGAGCTAGGAATAATGTTTATCGTGTTATCACTAATATAAATTTAGTGGGCTATGGAAGAATGGATAAAAGAAAAACTTGGTATTCTTTGAGAATTCAGTCACTTTTTATTCCTCTATCCATCTGATGGTCTGAGTACCATTTTTAATTTTTAAAGAGCCATACATAATAATTGTACATACTTATGGGCAATGTGATAATTTGATGTATTTTATAATATGTGATGATCAAATATGGGAGTTAGCGTTTCTCATTCTTTAAAAATTATCTCTTTTGTATTGGGAACCTTTGAAATCCCTTTACTTACTTACTTACTTTTTTTTTTAAATAAAACCTATGCTGAATTGTGAACTTTAATTAGCCTACTGAACTGTGATACTTGTTATCCATCTTTCCTCTCTGCTCCTCCACCTTGGCTCTGTTTTAAAGTGTCCTCTGTTCTTTTGCTGTTGCTGTTCTGTTGCTGGTGATGACGAGGATAATGACAGTGGTGACACAGGGTCTTGACACATAACTTTTACTTTTCTGGAACTTGCTATGTAGATCAGCTGGACTCAAATTTGCAGTGATCCCCCTGTCTCTGCCAGGATTGCAGTTATATGCCACCATGGCTGGCAGTCTCCCGTTTGAAAATGATCTAAGTAGGGTCTGGATTGGTGTCTCATGTCTAAGAGCGTTTGTCGTAGTAGAATATTGTTTCTGTCAGGACCTTGAGGGCTGAGGTTGTGGTGTTTTGTTTTTGTTTTTGTATTTAGACAGTCACTCTATTCTAGGCTTTCCTGGAACTTGCCTAGGTCCATCTGCCTTTGCATGAGTGCTGGGATAAAAGGCATGCACTAACACACCCAGCCTTTTCTTTTTCTTTTAAACTGAGGTTTTGAAGCAGGTTTGTTAACTGAGGATGTGTAGAAGCCTATTCCTTGTTACTGTGATTGTTACTCTAGTGTATAAATCTTACTTCCTAGAATAACAGGCATCTGGGTACCTAAAGATGCTTACTAATTAGAAATTTTCTCTAAAGCCAGTTGTGGTGGTTCATCCTTATAATCCTTGGATTTGGGAAGTGAAGAGGTGAGGATCTGGAGTTCAAGGATAGCTTTGGCTACATAGCTAGTTGAAGGCCAGCCTGAGCTACCAGAGACCCCAATTCAAAAAAGCCACTAGCCACCCTAAACAAAAAAGGAAGAGAAGCCGGGCAGTAGTGGAGCACGCCTTTAATCCCAGCATTCCGGAGGCAGAGGTAGGTGGATATCTGTGAGTTTGAAGCCATCCTGTTCCAGGACAGCCAGGACTACAAAGAGAAACCCTGTCTCCAAAAACAAAAAAACAAAGCGAAATGAAAACATGAGGAGGAGGAGGAGGAGGAAGAGGAGGAAAGAGATATCCTTTATAATTAAAGACTAAGTTATGGGAGACTGGTACGGGCTGGAGAGGGAAGTGGAGAAGAGAGGAATAGGTCTGCTGTATGTATATGATATAGCAGACTGACAGTGAGGCAGGGAGTGTGGACAGATGAATGCCCACAATATAGATGGTTCCCATAGACCCATTTGCATGCCCGCCTGGAGGTTTACTGTGCGTCATGAGGTAGCCTGTGTGAACCCTTCAGTGGAGGCTCACAGTGTTTAGTATGGCTAATGGAATTCAGAAGAGAAGTGTGATTCCAAAAGTTGAGGGCACTTTGCAAAGCTTTTGAAAGATGTGGTTGAAACTAGGCCAATACGTAGAGAAGAGCCTAAGAGCGGGCACGGCCCCTGAGACCTTACACATGAGGCTTCCTACAAGCTTGGGTAAAGCGACAGTATAAACAGTCAACTTCTCACTAGGTCCAGATCTTGATTCAGTTGGAGAGTCAAATGTCTTTCGTGTGGTGTTGCATGGCTGTGTCCTGCCCTATTCCACACAGGGCCTTTTCCTTATCCTCTAAGAATACCCAGTTCCTTTGATTCCGGGTTTGGCCTCTGATGCTCACTCTGCCTGAAATACACTCTTCCAGGTGTCTGCATGGCTTCTGTGAATCCTTTAGTCTCTGCTTAGTGACAACTCCCTTGACACCCGGTGTAAAGTAACAATTCCTTCTGGCACACCCCTGCTCTGCACACTCCCTATATTCTTTTTCCTCCTGCTGTGCCTAGAGTAGTGCCTGGGATTAGAAATAAATACACATGTATGTGTAGATATGCAGGTGTAAGACAGGAGACGGTTTTCGGGAAACTGAAAGGGGTAAAAGGAAGGAGTGATCAAGGGAATTCTAAGACATTCAGTTTTTATTTTGTGGCTGTTACTTTCTTGTCAAAGCAGCCCCTGATGTGCTTGAACTGGGCAAATGCAGCAAAATATGTATCAAGTATCTATATATGTATATATATCTACATATCTATATATGTATCTATGAGTATCAAAATATACTCATAGAGAAGATTTGGATTCAGATTTGGTTAGTTTGCCTTGCTTTAACAAGCCTAGGGGAATTCACCCTCAGTGTCTTTTCTTTGGGATGATTTGTACTTATGAATGAGACCTTGTGATTTTGATTGATGCCTCTTGTTCTCCTCTTAGGACCCCTACAGTGGACCATGAGTCGGTAATGCCCACTGAGGACTTCTGGGAGCCATGTCAGACGAATCCGCCTCAGGGAGCGATCCAGACCTGGACCCGGACGTGGAGCTGGAGGATGCGGAAGAGGAGGAGGAGGAGGAAGTGGCAGTGGAGGAGCATGACAGGGATGACGAGGAAGACCTGCTGGATGGTGAGTACCTCTATTGATAACAAGGACTACCATACCCTTTTCTGTGACTTTTTTTTTTTGTTTTGTTTTGTTTTTTTCTAGATAGGGTTTCTCTGTAGCTTTTTGGAGCCTGTCCTGGAGCTAGCTCTTATAGATGAGGATGGCCTCGAACTCACAGAGATCCGCCTGCCTCTGCCTCCCAAGTGCTGGGATTAAAGGCATGCGCCACCACCGCCCGGCTTCTGTGACATTTTTAATGGGAGAATGTGGTATTTCTAGTTGGTTGTTTTTTTTTTCTTCTTTTTTGGGGGTGGGGCAGGGAGAGAGTGGGAGCTATTGAAACATGATCTTGCTCTGTATAGCTGAGGCTGGCCTGGAACTCACTGTAAGCCAGGCTAACCATGAATTTACTGTAATCTTCTTGTCTCAGACTTCCAAGTGCTGAGATTGTAGGAATATGCTATTATGCCTTGGTTCTAGAAGTCATGGCTGAGATCCCAGCCACAGAACTTCTGTATTTATTCTCAGGAAATGGATGATTGTTCTTCAAAGTAAACCTTATTTAATGGTGGAAAGATGAGAATTTAGTTTGTCATTTTTGTTTGTTTTGTTTTTTTTGTTTGTTTTGTTTTTTGAGGCAGGATTTCTCTGTGTAGCCTTGGCTGTCCCAGAACTCACTATGTAGACCAGGCTGGCCTCGAAATCACAGAGATCCACCTGCCTCTGGCTCCCAAGTACTGAGATTAAAGGTGTGTGCTATCACTGCCCATCTTGACAGAAAGGTAGACTCAAATCCCGAGATTATAGAGTGAGTATACTTGCCCAAGTGATGGAGGAGTCATGGTGGAGTCCTTGTGTGAGTCTGCAACCTGAAGTGTAAACTCTTAGGTATAGTGATAACCACTGGTGATCTGAAACCACAATTAAAATTCTACTTGATGTTCATACATGAAGGAAATTGTCAGGATAGAGATTCTCAGAATAGATTGACATCCCCAGAAGGTTGATCATCTGCAGCACTGGTCACTTGCAACTGTAAATTGCTTCAACTAAAAGATGACTTCATCTCCAAAGCTGATAGGCTCCCTCTAGATTCCTCCTGTTGTTAAGTTCCCTAGTTCCCTGCTTCCTTTGACTCTTATCTCTCTCTCTTTTTCTTTTTTTTTTTTTTTTTGGACAGTCTTACTTTTCAGCTCAGGCTGGCCTCAAACTGGCAATCCTCAGGTGTACCAAGCTAACATCTAATTTTTGAAATAGCATAGAAACTTTTCTTTCCTTTCTTTTTTTTTTTTCTACTTGCACTGGAAACATTTTTATTGACAATTTAGGACAGTTACACACAGACAACAACAAAGAAAAGACAATGAAGGGTAGACAATGCACCACGGGGCTAATATTCTTCACCCTCATCATCTCCTTCAGCACTATCGGCCCCAACCTCTTCATAATCCTTCTCCAGGGCAGCCATGTCTTCATGGGCCTCAGAGAACTCCCCCTCCTCCATGCCCTCACCTACATACCAGTGCACAAAGGCACGCTTGGCATACATCAGATCAAACTTGTAATCTAGACGAGCCCAGGCCTCAGCAATGGCTGTGGTGTTGCTCAGCATGCACACAGCTCTCTGGACCTTGGCCAAGTCTCCACCAGGTACCACAGTGGGAGGCTGGTAATTAATGCCAACCTTGAAGCCAGTGGGGCACCAGTCCACAAACTGGATGGTACGCTTGGTCTTGATGGTGGCTATGGCAGCATTGACATCTTTGGGAACCACATCACCACGGTACAGCAGGCAGCAAGCCATGTATTTACCATGGCAAGGGTCACATTTCACCATCTGGTTGGCTGGCTCAAAGCAGGCATTGGTGATCTCTGCTACTGTAAGCTGCTCATGGTAGGCTTTCTCAGCAGAGAAACTAGGCAGTTTGGATGCTCACCTTACTAGACCTGGATGGAGGTGGGCAGTCCTTGGACTTCCCACAGGTCAGGGAACCCTGATTGCTCTTCGAGCTGATGAGGGAGGGGGACTTGATCGGGGGAGGGGGAGGGAAATGGGAGGTGGTGGCGGGGAGGAGGCAGAAATCCTTAATAAATAAATAAATTAAAAAAAAAAACCTCACTGCTGCTCCCCCGGACTCCTTGGTAGTCTGCTAGTGGGAGGTCCTAATCACCCTCTCCGACTCAGTTCTCGCGGACCACTTCAAGGACTAAATATGCGTAAGTGCATCTCTTTCCTTTTCTTTTGTGGCACTGAAAATTGAACCCAATTGTGCCTGGTAGAAAGTACTCAATCACTGAGCTATATTCCTACCATTTTCCGTATTGTATGTTTCCAGACAAGGTCTCATTAAGTTGCTAGGCTCGCACAGAACTTGGTCTATAGCCCAGGCAGACCTTAAACTTAAATTCTCCCAAGTACATGGAATAACAGGACTGTGCCACCAGACCAGTGAATGAATCTCAAACTCACTCCCCCTTCCTTCCCTCCCTCCCTCCCTCCCTCCCTCCCTCCCTCCCTCTCTTTCTTTCATTCATTCTTTAAGATATATAACCTTTGCAGTTCTAGAACTCACTCTGTAGACCAGGCTCGCCTCCTGAATGGAATTAAAGGTGTGTAGCACCACAACAGCTGGTGAAACTTTTTCTTTTCTTTTCTTTTCTTTTCTTTTTTTTTAGTTTTTCCGAGACAGGCTTTCTCTGTAGCTTTGGAGCCTGTCCTGGCACTAGCTCTTGTAGACCAGGCTGGCCTCGAACTCACAGAGATCCACCTGCCTCTGCCTCCCGAGTGTGGTGAAACTTTTTCAATGTGCGTGTACACCTGTATGTGTGTTTGTGTATACTCATGTGTGTGCACGTGGAAGCTAGAAGTTGACATTGGGTATCTTTAGTTCTCTCCACCTTCTTTCTGAGACAGATCTCTTATTGATTGAGCCAGACAAATTGGCCCATAAGTCCTAGGATCCTACTGTCTCTGCCTGCCCTACCCTGAGATTACAGGTGAATATTGCCAGGTGTGGTCCTGGGCTTCAAATTCAACTCCTCATGCTTGATAAGCAAGCACTGACTCATCTTTTCTAGCTTTCCACAAATTGTTGTCTAAGGTTAGGTTATCTAGCCAGTCCTAGGCCTTCTCAATTATTTCTGGCCTTTTGTGACCTGTAACACCCATTGAGGAAGAGCTTTTGGTGATTACTGATTCACTACTTCATGAAACTGAATAGTACATTCAACTGTCACTAGGTTTTGAATGTGTCTAGGGAAGTGTGCTCTGTCATTCAGATCATGAACAGCAGTCCTCTTTCTGCACCAGTTACATTTTCCCAACCTAATTCTCATCTGTCCTAACTCCTGCTGTATGGTTCAGAATCCATTTTCCCTTCTTTATACAGTCCAAATCTTTTGCTCCAATTTAACGTTAGAATCCCTAGGTATCTGCATCATTTTCTGATTTTCATCATCTGGGTTCCTGATATTTTTAATCATCCTTAGAAATCCTGTCAAGTTTAGATGGATGGACTTCAGATGCTGCTAATAGTGCCATGCATATATACACATTGTTTTCCCTACTAGCTTCATGGTATATTGCAAGGTTCCCCCCCCTCCTTCCCTCCTCTCCCTCCTTCCCTCCCTCTCCTCTCCACTCTCCTCTCCTCTACTCTTCCCTTTCTTCCTTTTGAGGCAAGGTCTCTATGAATTTCAGTCTGGCCTCAAACTTGATATCCTCCTGCTTCAGCTTCCTGAGGGACTGGATTATAGCTGTTTTCCGTTGTACATGACTTTACTATGGCATTTTACACATGAGGCTTGAGTACCTGCTGGTTCTGTTACCTGCAGAGGGTCTTGGAACCAATTTCCCAAAGATATCACAGTTTTTACTAAAAAAAATTGCATGCCTTTGAAGACAGTACAGTTATTTATTTAGAAGTGGCAAGAATTTTACTATGATTTGTTTAAGGGTGGTGTATTTTTTTTAATTTATTTATTTAGTGGCGCCTCCCATTTCCCTCCCCCTCCCCCAACTAAGTCCCCCCCCCAGCCCGAGAAACAATCAGGGTTCCCTGTCCTGTGGGAAGTCCAAGGAACCCCCAAAGGGTGGTGTAATTTTAATGTTGTGATTTTTCCTTTTTTCTTGCTCTGTTTTTCTTGTACCAGGGATGGAATCAGGCCTTGTACTCTTCTAGGCATGTGCTCTGCCATCCATTATTTTGTATAGACTGGGTATTGAGCCCCTGGCATCTGCCTGACTCTGCCTTCTCCTAGCTGGCTACTTTTTCAGAGAACCTGAGCTTGCTTGGTTCCCAGCATCCACATGACAGCTCACAATTATCTAATTCTAGTTACTGTGGAATGTTTCACCCTCTTCTGGCTGGTGTGAGCACTGTATACAACACATGTACACAAAATGAAAAAAAAAGCAGAATTTTTAATTTATCTCTAGTTTTTTTTAATATATCTTTAATTCCAGCACTCAGGAGGCAGAGGCAGAATGATCTGAATTAAAGGCTAGCTAGGGCTACATTATGAAAACCTATTTCTAAAAATATAAAATAATACATTTTTATAAAATTTTGCATCAGGGCTTGTGTGCTTTTTATGTTGCCCTATGATTTCTTACAGAAGAGAATATTTAGTATTTTTTTAGGATTCACTTGGTAGAAAAATTTGAGAAATCTGGGATGCATCTTTTTAGAATATTTTGTTCTGGTTTTTTTGGGGAGAGAATGGGGTGCTAGAGTTTGAACTCAGGACTGTGGCAATACTAGGCAAGTGCTAACTAAACCATATCTTCAGCCTTTTATTTTATTCTTATCCATTTTACATGACATATCAAGATACTGGAATTTATTTATTTATTTATTTATTTATTTATTTTGAGGCAGGGTGAAGTAATAAGGGCGGCGGCGGGGCTGCGTCCCCAACACCCCAGCCGCCTGCCCGGCTGGCTTATGCCCCGAAATAATTACACGGACACTGTATTCTTTTAAACACTGCTTGGCCCATTCTCTTCTAGGCTAATTCTCACATATTAATTGAGCCCATTTCTAATCATCTGTGTGTAGCACCCCAAGGTGCGCTTACCGGGGAGATTCTAGCCTAGTCCATCCTGGGTCAGAGCTTCATCCCGGGAGAGGGGCATGGCGTCTCTCTCAGGCGTCTGCTCCCGAGAGGAAAGCGGTCGAGTCTCTCAGCTCACTTCCTCTTCCTCCCAGCATTTTGTTCTGTTTACTCCTCCCACCTATCCTCTAACCAATAAAATGGGCCAGGGCAGTGCCTTTATTAGCCAATGACCTTCCTCCATCAGCAGGGTTTCTTAGTGTGGTCTTGACTGTCCTGGTACTTCCTGGTCTGGTAGACCAGACTGGCCTTGAACTGAGAGATCCGCCTTCCTCTTGGCCTGGGATTAAAGGCTTGTACCACCACCCGCCCTGCTAAGATATTAAAATTCTATCATTGAACCTAGATATAGCATGCTTAGTTCCTTCTGGAAGCTGCCTCATAGTCAAAATAGTCTTTTAACTTTGGCCTGAGGCTAAGCCTCTTCATTTTAGATTACTGAGTAGAGAAAGTTAATCTCCTCAGCCTTTGGGCTTCTGATCCTCTTTAGGAAGTTTGTGTTTTGCCTTTCCTATGGCTCTTTCTGTTTGTTCTCTTTGAAATTAGAAGCTTCAGGTATGAAGTGTTCTAGGGCAGAGAATCAAGGAAAGGCCTCAGGAATAAATTTGATTTAGAATCTATAACAAAGAGTCCATTGTGGCTAGAGTGTAGTGAGACAGTTACACATCAGAGGACAGAATAGCCTGAGATGAGATGGGCAAGGTGCTCTGGCTGCTGTGATAAAACACTATGACCATAGCAACCAAAAAGGCAGGGAAGGGTTTATTTGGCTTAAACTTCCAATTCACAGTCCATCCGTGAGGGAAGCCAGGCAGACGCTTTATGGAGAAATGCTAGCTTTCTTTCAGGCTTAAGTTTGCCTACTTTTGTTATACAGCCCGGGTGCACCTGCCTGGGGATGGCCTACTTATATTATTTAGTAATCAGAAAATGTCCCAGCCGGACAGTGGTGGCACATGCCTTTTCCCCACAATCAGGAGGCAGAGGCAGGCAGATCTCAGTGAGTTTGAAGCCAGCCTGGTCTGCAAAGCGAGTTTCTGGACAGCTAGTGCTACACAGAGAAACCCTGTCTCCAAAAAACCCAAACCAAACTAAAGCAAAAATATAAAACAAGAAAGAAGAAAAAGTCCCTTAGACATATCCAGAGGCCAGTCTAATGGAGGCAATTCCTCAAATTGAGGTTCTCTCTTCCTAGGTTTATCAAGTTGGCCACTAAGACTCATCATCACACAAGAGCTAGAATCCTGGGTTAATTGAATTTATCCTCCTGCTCCCATTGTGTGTGTGTGTGTGTGTGTGTGTGTGTGTGTGTGTGTGTGTACTTGTGCTACAGATATGTGTACAGGCCAGAGTACTGCTTGTAAGAGTTGGTTCTCCTTTTCTACTGTGTGTGTCCCAGGGATTGGATTCAGGTGGTCAGTTTTGGTAGCAAGCACCTTTATCAGCTAAGCCATCTTGCTAGCCCCCACATGATATAGATATGAATAATTTGCATTGTTATGGATTTTGCTTTATTGATATAAATTTAAGGTCAATCTTGCTATATGTATATTTCTGCTCTTGATTAAGGTATTGTGATTGTGTAGTTCATTTAAAAATGTAATGTATAATTAGGAAATATAGGTTGTTAATGGATAATCATTGATAATAGTCAAGCTTGTAGTCATGTTAGTTAGATTTTCTAGATATATAGAGATATATTTCAGTTAGATAGGCAGGCATTCTTCATATCTTTCAAAGACTACAGAATGTGGCATTTAAAATGTTTTAATAACTTAGGACTTTTCATGACAATGAGACACATCTGCTCCTGGGAGTACCAGCTACTTCAAAAGGAAAATGGGCATTGAAGAGACTCCTTATGGAGTTTGCTAGCCATTTGGGCAAGAAACTGCTCTTGCCTGGACTGGTTCACTGGACATGCAGTTCCCACAGAGAGATGACTGCTGAACTTGCCTAAAGGTGAGATGATCCTTCGGGGTTCCTGCTTCATGAAAGAGTCTGTGAGACATTCTGCAGGATACAGAAGAAAGTGACTGAACTGTCTTTGAAATTTCCTGCTTCATGGAAAAGTCTGCTGGATACTATTGGCCTGTAGGCTGAAGATGGATGCCCCAATAGTAGAGAAGAACTTTGGGTGACTGTACAGACAGAGAGATGTCTTTGTCATTTCTAGAGTTTTGTAAGTTGCTTACTTCTCATTTACTTAGGTAATATTATATCCTTCTGGAGTCTTTGATGGAGTTGAAGAATAGATAGTTATAGTTTTCCTTTGTTATGATAAAAGATAAAATAGATATAAATATTGTAACTAATTCTTGCTTGAATTAATTAGCTGTTTTGTTATATGTAATTTTACTATGTTAAAGTTAAAGCCTTCCTTTCCTTTTTAAACAGAAAAGGAGAAATGGTGTAGGAGGTCCTATTGTTTATGTGTTGCTTTCACTGGTTAATCAATAAAGAAACTGCTTGCCCTGATAGGGCAGAACTTAGGTAGGTAGAGAAGACAGAACTAAATTCTGGGAGGAAGAAAGCAGAGTCAGAGAACCTCCATGGAGCTGCCAGAATCAGACATGCTGAATCTTTCCCGGTAAGCCACGACCTCGTGGTGATACATAAATTAACAGAAATGGGTTAAATCAAGATGTGAGAGTTAGCCAATAAGAGGCTAGAGATAATGGGTCAGGCAGTGTTTAAATGAATATAGTTTCTGTATGATTATTTTGGGTGTAAGCTAGCTGGGCGTCCGGGACCAAAAGCAGGCCCTCTCTCCTTCAACACTCACAGTTTGTTTGGTCTCATGGGTTAGTAATATTAGACTTTTAACTGAATTTTCACCATGTCAATTTACACCAGCAGTCTACAGGAAAGGTCATGCTCACCAAGTAGCTGAGAGCATAAAAGGTATAGGGGACTTCAAGAGTTTTAACCAAAATCAGGATGAGTGGGTTTGG